GGGGGATGGAGGGTAATGTGGGGATAAGGACACATATGTAATAACTTAATCAAAAAAATAAAAATAAATAAAGTGCAGCTATGTGCAGCAACATAGTGAATCTCACAAACTCAGTGTTGACTGTGAGAAGCCACATACAACAACGTACAGACCAATGATTTTATTTAGATAAAATTCAGAGCAGAAAAAACTAATCTGCTGTGATAGAAGTCAGATTAGTGGTGACTTAGGGGCAGAGGGAGTAGTGACTGGCAGTCCGAAGATGGGGAGGGAGGGGGTGCTTCTAGGGTGGAGATAATCTATTTTGTAGTGTGGATGGTTCCACGGTTGTGTTCACTGGGAAAGTCGTTGACCTGTACATTTGATCAGTACACCTTTCTGTATGTTTGATATACTTCAGTCAAAAAGTAAAGCATGACAAACACACAGATACAAAACATCAGGAAGAATTACGCTGCGAAGCCAGTAGTGTTTATTCCTATGTGATACACGTTACTTTGGGTGATACATATATATTTTCCTTTTATAATTACAGGGAAATTCCTTGTTTATAAATATCAGAGCCCTATTCCCGTGGGAAAGTTGACATGACTTGTAACTCTCATGGAATCCAGAATTAAGTGCCCTAGAAGGCCATCGTATAGCCTAACTATGTCCTTTTCTTTCTTCCCTAACTAGGCTCTAAAAAGTACCTTGGGATTTCCATTGATTCGGTTCGAAGATGCTGTGATTAATCTGGACCCATTCACTCGGGTCCATCCCTATGAGACCAAGGAGTTCATCATCAATGACATCCTCAAACATTTCCAGGAGGTGAGCTTTGGAGAGGTGTCTAGAGCTGGAGCATACGCAGGATGTTTGCTTTAATTGTTTGGGAAATTTGGCTACTAAGACATTACTATTGAGAATCCACATTTCAGCTGAGGTTGTTGAGTTATGGGTCAGGTCATGGCCCACGAAGCCTGCACACATCATGAAAACCCCGAAACAGTGCATTTGATTTATGAGCCGTGAGTCTGGTCCTTCAGAACCAGTCTCAGGGGCCTCCACGAGATTAGTCACAACTCTCAAGACTTTAACTGATGCTGTAATGATAACACAAAATGCTGTGAACTCTTTATTTACCAGGCCTGGGCCTCCTTTCAGCAACCACACCGATGTGATTAGAGCCTGTGAGATCCTGCCCTAGAGTTGAACTTTAAAAAAAAAATGTTTTTATCAAGTTGGACATTTTCCATTTGTACTTATTATCCAGGCTGCAAAGACCAAAACATAAAGCCGAGGCATACTCCTCAACGAATAGATAGGTCACGGTCGTATCAAATGTATTCGCTGTCAAAGTCAAAAGATATCCTCTTCTCGCTTCCTTCCCTCCTCCTCCCCATTTCCCTCCTTTCCCTCTGTTTCCTTCCTTGCTCTTCCTAATTGGTGATAATTCCACTGAACTGTAAGGAGAGTGATAGGGCAGGTGTCCCCGGAACCTGGACCCAGGCGGTGGAGGTGCACAGAAGATGGAGGGGTTCTTGATAGGTCTGAACATGTCCTCTTTGGGGCCTGGATCATGAAGGACCCCAGATCTTCCCTCCTCCCTCACTTTTCACATTCTCTCTGCTGCTGGTTAATTCCCTATTGGTGGGAACAATGGAAAGGGGAATATCGAGCACATAGTAATGTAAATACGTGTAAAGAATCTTTCCTGTTTCATACCTTTTTTATTCTTCTGAATGGCTTTGAGGATTATTTTTAAGGAAAATTTATGAGTATTGGAGGCACCCTCTGGGATATGTGCATTTGGGAGAAGTTGAGGTGGAGCTTGTAGTTGGTGAGAATGGAAAGGGGGTTGTTGGTGTTGATGGGAATGGGGGACAAGGCTGATTTGTAACCTCTGTGCTTGGGACACTGCAGTATAAACAGGGGCTGCTCTTCTTCTTGTCTCCCTCCTCCACGTGACAGGAACTCCTCAGCCAGGCAGCGCGGATCCTGGGGTCGGTGGACTTCCTTGGCAATCCCATGGGGCTTCTGAATGACGTTTCTGAGGGGGTCACTGGACTGATAAAGTATGGAAATGTCGGGGGCCTTATCCGAAATGTTACCCATGGAGTATCTAACTCTGCTGCCAAGGTAAGGAAATAGAGGCATCTACCACGTGAGTCCTCTACATTTCTGTAATTTCTCGGATAGTACAAGGTTGTGAGAAGTTACATACATGGTCTTTGCTCCATGTACTCTGTCTTCCCCTCACCTCTGATAACCTGGCACCGGCCCACTGCGTGCGCCCCTGAAATATCTCCTGTTCCTTCTCCCCATCATCACGGCCTTCGTCCAGACTCTGGTGTCTCTTCTCTGGGCCACTGCAGTCCTCCTGCCCCTGGACTTCACTGCATCTTCCAGAGCCACCAGAGTGAACTTGAAAACATGGGATTTGATTGTGCCATTTCCCTGTCTAGAATCTCCCAGTTCCTCCTCACAGCTTCCATGATGAAGTCCAAACTGAAGTACGGCTTCTAGAACGCAGCGACCCTTTGAGTTGTCTGCATTCAGCAGCAGGACAGCGGGGTAATCCTCCAAGCCTTGCTGTCTCAGCAGCTCTTCGTTCACTGGCCTCTTGTTGGTGGACATTTTGCTATTGCACAGTTCCTTCTGGGCAGGAGCTGATTTTACGTGTGAAGCTGGGAAAGGTGCCGGCAGTTGAAAGGGGGTTGCTATTTTATAATAGACAAAAGGCCGCTAAAGGTCTCAGTTCTCCTCCCCTTCCTGTCAACTGCACAGACTTCTTCTAGAGGTTGACCTTTTTACGAGGGAGCAGGTTGGAGAGAGCTCCTGTGCCCTCTGCTCATTCATTGTAGAGCATTTGTTGTCGGGAAACCCGAGGGGCACTTGTGCCCTCTGCCCCAAGGTGTAAAGGTGGCTCTCCCGGAGGAGACGCTAATGGCACCACCTAGGAATTTATCCTGAAGAGCAGGTGAGAAAGTGGAGTTGATGGCATTGCTGTATTGCACAGCCTTCTTGGTAATGTGTGGAAGCTGGGAATGTATTCCTGTTTTCCAAACTATTTTCTAGAGCTGATCCGTACTTTCAATAATATAGTTCTATTAAACCAGCCCAAAAGTGTATAGTTTGGTTTGTGGTTCAAAATAGGCAACCCTTGGCTTTTGGAGATGGGAGAAGGAAATTTTGTAATCATGTTTGGAAATAGACTCGGGTTCAGAGTCGAATGAGCACACACATTCCAGCCTTGAACTCTTTCTTGCGCTGCCCTTGGACCTTCACCCGACGGCAGCACAGCACGGCTCCGCCGTGGCACAGACTCCCACGGACTGGATGTGGGCAGGTGTGTGTAAATGTTTATTGTAAGCGCCAGTTTAAAGATTTTACTTAATTTTATTAAATTCTAATCAGCATAGCAAGTCTCCTCGCTTTTATAATTTCTTTGTTTTTGTATCCCTGGGCTTTGCTTTAATTTGGAAAATAAATGCACTGTGTTGTACTGAGAGGCCTTTCTCAACCTAGAATAGAAATGCACCTTTACTGGCTTTCTGTGAGAATAAAAGGAGATATGATGTCATAAAAAATATAGACTGAACAGGAGAAATGTGCTTCACTTTGACTCTTATATTTGCATCAATGTAAAACGTTTAGACTGTAGCCACCAGGAAACTATTAATACCCTTGAAATGAAAGCCAGTACGTTACAGTCTACAGAGGAGGAGGCCTCAGGCGCAGAGAGCGGAGAGTCACGCTCCATCTGGGCCAGTGTGGCTCTTAGGAACCCTCCATAGTTAACCTGTGGATGTGAAGGAAGAAGTTGGAGACTCCACAGGTGAGCCCTGTGGGCTTTCCCAGAGTCCTCCGCTGCATCCTGAGGAAAAAGGTTGGGCCTCTCTATTCTTTCTCATTTATGGAAGTCTTGTTTATTTTCTGGTTCTTGTTTCCCCTGGAAACTTTTTGAAGCTTAAGAGTCAGCATGAGAATATAACTTAAGCAGAAAGAGAGGGCAGAGTACTCCTGACCCCTGATGACAATGGTCATGCATTTTATTGGATTTCATGTTTTGTATTATTGGTGGGTTTGCATATAAAGGTACTGCTTTCCAGGCCCCAAGGGCTCTCGAATGGGAAGCCAGCTTCCCAAGTGGGTGGGTCCTTCTGCATGTAGTTCTCTTGCCTTTAGTAAGCTCGTCAGTATTGGTGCCACAGGCTGCTACTCAGAGGAATTGCTGTGTAATTTATCTTGATACCAAGATCCCTGGATGTGTTATAAAGGTTAGTCCATATATCTCTAAGATAAGAAAGCAAAGAGACTTAAAGTTACTACTTCATATCAGCAATGATAGCTCCAAAAGCCAGGTCCATCGACTAAATACCAACTCAAGTAATCTGTGATTCTGCATGTATGTAGTGTGGCTAAAGATCTCCATTTTCTTGTAGTGTTGTGGGTTGAGATCCGACCTTTAATGTTGCTTTGGGGGAATGTTGTGTTTGCTTTTATGTGTATACAAGAGGAGTTTAAGGAAGTGCAAATGACCACAATAATCAACTGTTGGCCTGTGGGAAGTATTCCTTTAAAGAGTGCCTAGGTTCCCTTGATTAAAGAAAGGGGTCAGAGACGACGGGACTGCACCTCACAGAGCCCCAGCAGCCAGCCAGCCCCACAGGGCTGCGAAGACTAGACCTTGGTTCCATGGGCTGTGTGTGGAGTGGAAAAACTCATAAACCTCCTGAAATTAATTATAAATATTATATATATATGTGTGTGTGTGTGTGTGTATTTTTCCTGAGCAAGGATGTAAAGTCTTTATTAGATTCTCAGAGAGGTTCATGCCTTCCCCAAAATTGTCATTCTTGTAGACATAGGGTTGTGTGTTAAGGGGAGCTTAGGGCTAATGAGTTCCAGTCCCATTCCTCCCTTTAAATCATGGGTGGGGAACCTTTTTTCTGCCAAGGGCCATTTGGATATTTATAACATCATTCTCGGGCCATACAAAATTATCAACTTAAAAATTAGCCTGCTATATTTGATCAAACATTTAATTCACTCACCCCTAATGCCTTGGCAGGGCCAGACCAAATGATTTTGTGGGCCATATAGGCCGGACATTCCCCACCTCTGCTTTAAAGAATCCTTTTCTCTGTTGAAAGCTGTTTTTTAACCTATGGAATGGTGATGGTCATTTCCCCTGACCCTCTGACCTGAGGAGCAAAAGAGATGCAGTAGGTGAAAATCTAGTGAGAAGTTAAGAGGGAATTCATTCTGTCACTTAAGGTAATAGACCTGCAGGTCTTAGTTATCTTGGATAGACGTTGTCAATTACTCATAGCAGATTTTTAGTTTCAGGGCTATCATATCCACTTCTGGAATTTCTCATTACATAAACAGTTACTTAATTTATTTAATATTAGCCTCAAGGAAATATAGCTAGAAAATAATCTGTGCCCTTTATTTCTCTTATCCTTTTCCTTTCAGCCCCCAACCCTCAGGAATCAGGTTCAGGATTCCGGCTCTAAGATGATGGGACCCAGGGATGAGCCACCATGCTGGGGGCCTCTGTCCCACAATTCACTTGCCTGGATCTTGGAAAAATGACTCCAACCCTTTGAGTAGAACCTCAAAGATCTGACCCCATTCCTAAGGCCATGGCAAACCCGCCACTCCTGAAATCCTTTCATGGCATACGCCTTATTTAATAAAAGCACAGCATTTCAAATCCTAAAACCCTGTCAGAGAAATGGCTCCTCTCCTTAGCATGAATTTTCCTAGTTGGGTGTCATGTGACTACCTGTAGCCCCTCTGACCTCTTTCAAAGCCAGAGAACTAGGGAGACGCCCATTGAACAAATTCCCTCTCTTCTATAGACCCCAGTTCCTCTTCTGTCTGTAATTATTGTGTAATATTTTCTTATACTTTCAGGAAAATTACATAGTTCTAAAAAAAAGACAACTTCTTTTCAAACTAGGAAAACCTCAGATGTTAACAATAGAGCAAATGATCCCATTCTCTCTGCTGCCCCTGTAAAAACTCAGGGGTTGCTCTCTACAGCTGTCACCTGGTCTTCCTAAGGGAAGAAAGCCAGCAGCAGACTTAATTTCTTCCAGCAAAGGGGAGAAGCACTTTTGATCATCACGGGACCTCTGCTCTGTTCTGTGCTGCTTCCCATTTTCTCTTTGTGTCATTATCAAGGCCGTAGAGGATGCTTTTGATCCCGGGTACTTTTTTGATCCCAGCTATGTTTTGATTCTGTGCTTATGAATGCAGATATTTTAATAATTTTCCCTATTTTTAACCGAAATCATTTTCATCAAAGTCAATTGTTGTTCATGGAAATTAGAATTCATGGTTCATTATTCACTGCATGTTCATATTACTGATAACTTTTGCAGTGGTATGAGCAGGTATGGTAGAGTTATTTCTCTCTTTTGCTTTATGGCGTTTATTTCTAATGAGCCCAAATTTCCCAGCTCAAATTCTGCAGATCTAAATTTTTGTCAAGGCAATGTGAGCTTTCTGTTGGTTTTTACTTAATATATTTTATTTTATGTAGTTAATTGTTTTATTGTTTTTAGTAAGTTTTGTTAGTTATGAACTGGATAAAGACCTAATATTTCTTGGTATAAGCAGCATTAGTAGGAAAAAGATGAATGAACAGGGCTGAACACCCTTCTTCACTAGGGAACACGTACTAATTTGTAAATATTTATTGAACACCTGTTTGTCAGCCCTTGTGGTAAATCCGTTACATCCATTCATTGGGTATAATACGTGTGCTAATGTCGTCTTCAGACCAGGAAGATGAGACTTGGAGAAGTTAAATAACTTTGTCAAGATCATACAACTAGAAATGGCAAGATGGATCTGAAACCAAGTCTAGCTAATTCTAAAGGCCTTCCCCCCCATCCCCAATACGATGTATTTCCTTTGTTTGTATAAGGCTTTCTTCCACACACTATAGGGAATATAAAAAATGAACGACTGCTAACTTCACACCAGAAGCTTATAATTTGACATCACTTTGTTAGCTGGCAAGGTGACTGCTACTGTACCGTTTATGTCAAGAAATGGTGGTGATTGTGCTCATTCTTACGTTGGATTGGTCGTGACCATCACCATCTCCTTTTAGGCATGTA